AATACCACTGCCTCAATCGCTTCCTCACCAGCTGCCTCACCCACTGCCTCAGTCGCTGCTTCAACAGTTGCCTCAATAGCTGCCTCAACAGCTGCCTCAATTGCTGCCTCAACAGCTGCCTCAATTACTGCCTCAACAGCTGCCTCAATCGCTTCTTCAACAGCTGCCTCAATCGCTGCCTCAATCGCTGCCTCAACAGCTGCCTCATGCACTGCCTCATGCACTGCCTCAACAGCTGCCTCAACAGCTGCCTCACCCACTGCCTCAATCGCTGCCTCAACAGCTGCCTCACCCACTGCCTCAATAGCTGCCTCAACCACTGCCTCAATCGCTGCCTCAACAGCTGCCTCAACAGCTGCCTCAATCGCTGCCTCACCCACTGCCTCAACAGCTGCCTCAACAGCTGCCTCAACCACTGCCTCTACCACTCCAGTTACACTCAGTCTACAAGTACCAAACACAATGAATTATTGTGAAATGTTTGGAAGAGCAGGGAGACTAATGCTCACTCCAGCATAAACAAAGCCACACTGACGATGTGTCAACCACTCCCTCGTATTTTTGTACAACTTCCTTTTTCAATTATATCTTATTTATTATTATTATTATTATTATTATTATTATTATTATTATTATTATTATTATTACTATTGTTATTATTAGCAGTAGCAGAAATGTTTGTTTCTTTGCTGTGTTCAAGAGTAAACACATGTCACCGTCTAATACCTGTCCAAATAACCATTCCAATATGCAGTCATGAATGGGTTTACATTATTTATACTGCAGTTTAATAGCAAATAATGAACAAACAAAACACTCACCACACTGAGTGGTGGGAGGGCTGGCTGCCAGTTGCGGGGGTAGGAGGGAGGGTAGTAGGGACTCGCAGGTGGTGGGAAACTTGAATATGATTTGGCGGCTGGGAATTTGGCAGTTGGGAATTTGGCGGTTGGGAATTCGCGAATGTGTGAAGCCCGCGAAAGCTGAAAATGTGAATGTTGAGGGAGACCTGTATGTATGTATGTATATATGTATATATATATATATATATATATATATATATATATATATATATATATATAATATATATATATATATATATATATATATATACATACATACATACATACATACATACATACATACATACAGTGGTCCCTCGTTTTTCATAGTTAATCCGTTCCTGGAGCTGCTACTATTAACGAAATCTACGATTTGCGAATCAATTTTCCCCATAAGAAATAATGTAAATACAATTAATCCGTTCCTGACGCACAGAAGTATTAAAACAAAAATTTTTTTACATGAAATATACATGTAGTACATAAACAATACAATGGGAAATGATGAATGAAACATTAACAGCATAACACTTACCTTTACTGGAGATTCTTCTTAGTGTATGGGAGACTGGAGGAGGAGAGAGATTGGATTGTTTATAGTTTGGAAGGGGAATTCCCTTCCAGCAACACCTCAGGTACCAATTGCTTTTCTGGGGTTGCTTCTCTTCTCTGTTTCTTAATGCCACTAGGACCACCTTGAGAGTGACTCTCAAGGTGGTCACTGGAGTCCTGTCTCGCAAAATAACTATCCAGAGAGCTCTCTTTCTGTCGTCTCTTTAAAACTTCCCTAAAATGGGCCAAGACTTTGTCACTGTACATGTTGCCAACATGGCTTGCAACAACCTTGTCAGGGTGATGTTTCTCCATAAAGCTTTCCATCTTACCCCACATAGCAAAAATCTCTTTAATTTCTGAAGAAGGCACCATGTTCCTTCTCTCTTCCTCCTCCTTTGCAGCAAGATCCTGAGCTGCAATCTGTTGCTGTTCTTGCTGAAGCTCTTGCAGCTCCTCAGTGGTGAGCTCTTCGTTGTGGTCTTCCACCAATTCTTCCACATCCTCTAAACTCACATCCAACCCCATGGAACTCCCCAGTGCCACAATTGATTTTACAAAAGACATAGGCTCATCAGGGTCAGTCCCAAACCCTTCAAAATCCCACTTGTCGACACAATCTGGTCACAATTTTCTCCAGGCAGAGTTCAAAGTCCCAGTAGTCACTCCCTCCCAAGCCATACCTATAAGGGTTATGCAATGGAGGATGCTGAAGTGTTCTCTCCAAAATTCCCTTAGGGTCAAGTGAGTGTCTGTGGTCACAATCAAGCACCTGTGAAACATTGCTTGGTGTAGAGTTTTTTAAAGTTTGCAATGACCTGCTGGTCCATAGGCTGGAGGAGAGGAGTGGTATCCAGGGGCAAGAATGCTCAAATTACTAAATAAATAAATAAATGAACCCAAACTCCTCGAAAATTAGGTCATCCAAGCTTGGAGGATGAGCAGGTGCATTGTCCATTACTAGCAGGCACTTGAGATCCAATTTCTTTTCCAGGAGGTAATTCTTCACACTAGGGCCAAACACTTCATTGAACCACTCGACGAAAATTTCCCTCGTGACCCATGCCTTGCTATTAGACTTCCAAAACACACACAATTTACTCTTCATAACATTGTTTTTCCTGAACACTGGGATTTTCAGAATGGTACACTAGTAATGGCTTCACTTTGAAATCCCCACTAGCATTAGCACAGAACATTAGCATCAGCCTGTCTTTCATAGGCTTATGTCCTGGCATTGCCTTTTCCTCCTGTGTAATGAAGGTCCTCTTTGGCATTTTCTTCCAAAAGAGGCCTGTTTCATCACAATTGAACACTTGTTCAGGTTTCAGTCCTTCAGCCTCTACGTACTCCTGGAATTCATGCACATATTTTTCAGCCGCCTTGTGGTCCGAACTGGCAGCCTCACCATGCCTTACCACACTGTGTATGCCAGTACGGTTCTTAAATCTCTCAAACCAACCTTTGCTGGCCTTAAATTCACTCACATCACCACTATTTTCAGGCAATTTCTTTACCAGATCGTTGTGCAACTGCCTAGCCTTTTCACAAATAATTGAAGTCATAAGAGTATCTCCTGCTAATTGTTTCTCATTTCTCCACACCAATAATAACTTCTCAACCTCTTCGAGTACTGGTGATCTCATTTTTGTCAGCATAGTTACCCCCTTTGCAACAACAGCATCCTTGATTTGCTTTTTCTTGGCCACTGTGGAACATATGGTTGTGTAGGGTTTCTTATACATCCTGGCCAGTTCGGCCGCACTTGTACCACTTTCATATTGTTCAATGATGTTTTTCTTAAATTCAATCATATTTCTCACCTTCTTTACCACAGGCTTGGCACTAGGAGCTTTCTTTGGAGCCATGGTAGCTTATTTAGTACTTGCAAGCACTAAAATAAATGGAATATTATGAAATATTTCGCTGGAGCATGTGAGGGGACCTTCGCTCACTGGTAAACAATGCCAGACTGGCTGCCGCCCCGGCTCACACAGTGGGTATGCGTCCTGGACGAACTACTACTCGCGAGTCAACCTATGAAAAGAGAGCCCATGTTCATATGAAAATACCCCTATGATTTCCGAAATCTATGATTGCCGAGAACTACGAAAAGCGAGGGATCACTGTATATATATATATATAGTATATATACACTTACCATTCGACTTATGACCTGCTCGACATACGACCATTCGACTTACGACCTGTTGTGTATGCCAAATTTCTGGGAAATAAACTGTTTGTGTTGTACACAGTGTTTATCCTAAAGCTTACAGTATAGAATACAGTATTAACAGCAAAAAAATTAAAGTAAAAAATGAAATACCAAAATAAAACAATAAAATAAAGTCATTACAAAAATGTGATGTTGATATTCAGTATTAAGGTTCGACTTATGTCCATTTACTTACGATCGGTTGGTTGGAACCGAACTTGGATGATACCTGTATATATGTCGTGCCAGATAGGTAAAACTTGTGATTTTGGCTTAAATAGCAACACTCTTCTTTCCGAATAAGGCAAACTGAAATTTATTTATGCAGTAATTTTGCAAAAATCATTCTGAACCTAACGAAAAAAATATATTTTATTGTGCTTGTTTATTATTAAATTATTGTAAACTTATCCAAAATACATGTATATTTAGTTGGATTAGCCTAAATTAAATTGTGCTTGTTATAATAAGGTTAGGTAAGTTTTCTAAAGTTCTTTTGGTATAAAATTATTAATTTTTACTGTAACATAAATGAAAAAATATATCTTTGAATGTATAAGAGAAAATTTTAGAAAGGGCTTAATTTTAAATGAGTTCTTGCTAATTGACCAGTTTTACCTATTCGGCACAACACGCACACATGCAAACACACTTACAGACACACGCAAACACACACATACACACACATGCAAAAACACACATGCAAACACACACATGCAAACACACATGCAAACACACACATGCAAACACATACATGCAAACACACACACATGCAAACACACACACACACACACACACACACACACACACACACACACCACACACACACACACACACACACACACACACCACACACACACACACACACCACACACACACACACACACACACACCACACACACCACACACACCACACACACACACATGTATATGTATGCATGTATGTACATATGTCCATACATACATACTGAGTGAGAGTGAGTACTAAATATTTTTTCAGAACTATATTAATTAAGGAATGGTATTAAGAGTGAAGAGTTTAATTAACTTTATCATAGTTATTAATCTCTAGCTTCAAGTTATGTATATATAAATCTCAAGTAATCTAAGATCAAGTGAATTAGAGCATTTATTCATTGTTTTAAAATCACTGGAGTTTAAAGGATGATATAAAACAAATGAATGTTCTTGAATTTCAGAGTGAAATTAAAGTTAAAGGTAGGTTTGTTGTGTGAGACACACGAGTGTTTGTACCATCAGGTCAATTTAACCAATATACTTGGTACTTATACTTTAGAAGTACTACTGTACAAAATCTTTTGTATACTTTGCTGGCAGGTGATCAGGTATAGAGGTTGACTCAGTTGTCTGTATTTCACTGCCACCAGGTCGTCTGAACACTAACGAAGATAATGAGAACATGTTGGGCTACGACTTGTACTCTTCCTCCATGGCTGACATCCTCAGTGAACCTTCACTCTCCATGCCCATTTCTGTTGGTCTTTATGCCAAGTGGGGCTCCGGCAAGTCCTTCCTTATTAGAAAACTGAAAGGTAACAACTCTCCCTTTTTCTCTTCGTATTCTTCTTCATCTTCATGTTAATCATCATCTTTGCCTTCATCTTATTATTTTTATTGTTATTATTGTAGTTACAGTAATCCCCCTGTATCCATGGGTGACATGTTGAAAGACCTACCATGGATACCTGAAGCCGTGAGTGAAAATGTGTTTATTTACTTTCAAAGCTTACAATGCGTAGTTTACATGTTGTAAAATATTAATTACAAAGAAAGGCACTAACATGCCTAGGCATTTTGGGCACACTAATCCTGATTCTTACTCTATGTTGGCACAGGTTATGAAGCAGTACATTTTAATATACGGTGGACCCATGGTTTTTGTGATTAATCCGTTCCAGAGTCTGCCGAAAACCAAAATTCACGAAAACCAAAACCATTTTCCACATGAGAAATAATGTAAATCCAGTGAATCCATTCTAGACACCCAAAAGTATTAACAAAAAATATTTTTTTTAGAGATTAAATGTAGAATTACATACAGAAAAGAATGGCAGATCAATATAAAACAATAATAACATCACACTTACCTTTATTAAAGACTCTTGTTGGTGTATGGAAGATGGGGAGGAGGGGAGAGGGAGGAGAAGTTACTATTGTTTGGAAGGGGAATCCCCTTCAATAAAGACTTTAGGTACTGAGTCCTTATCCGGAGTTACTTCCTCTTTGTTTTTTTAGTAGCACTAGGACCAGCTTGAGAGCCACTGGCCCCCTCTCACTCAGAAAATTGTTCCAGAGAGCTCTGTTTCTAGTATCTCTTTAAGATTTGCCTAAAATGGGACAAAGCATTGTCATTGAACATGTTGCAGACACAGCCTGCAACAGCTTTCTTAGGGTGACATTTCTCCACAGAACTTTGCAACTCATTCCACTTTGCACAAATGTCCTTAATCACTGAAGAAGGCATTTTCTTCCCTCCCTCTTCCTTCTCCTCTGAAGCAATTTCCTCAGCTGTGGTCTGTTGCTGTTGCAGATGAAGGTCCTGCAGCTTTTCAGTGATTAGCTCTTCACTGTGGTCATCCACCAACTCTTCCACATCCTGGCCACTCACATCCAACTCCATGGACTTCCCCAAAGCTACAATAGATTCCACAACAGGCATAGGGTTGTCAGGTGTGTGTGGGAAAGTACCCTGGCTGGTGTGTGGGGAAGTGCCTTGCCTGGTATGTGGGGAAGTACCCTGGCTGGTATGTAGGGAAGTACCCTGGCTGGTGTGTGGGGAAGTGCCCTGGCTGGTGTGGGGAAGTACCCTGTCTGGTGTGTGGGGAAGTACCCTGGCTGGTGTGGGGAAGTACCCTGGTTGGTGTGTGGGGAAGTACCCTGGCTGGTGTATGGGGAAATGCCCTGGCTGGTGTGGGGAAGTACCCTGGCTGAGTGTGTGGGGAAGTACCCAGTCTGGTGTGTGGGGAAGCATCCTGGCTGATGTGTGTGGGGAAGTACCCAGTCTGGTGTGTGGGGAAGTACCCTGGCTGGTGTGTGGGGAAGTACCCTGGCTGGTGTGTGGGGAAGTACCCTGGCTGGTGTGTTCTTTCTTGAATTCTATCGTGTTTCTCGCCTTCTTTATCAAAGAGCTGGCACTAGCAGCTTTCTTTGGGCCCATGGTGGCTTATTTAGCAGTCACACATAGTAAACAAGCACAAAAAAATGCATTATTACAAAATGTTTTGTATTATCTCGCAGGGTAATGTTCACTCGCTGAGAAACAATGCCACACTGACTCTGAATGCATCTGTGGGAGGCTTTGTGTGCATGGGACCACTGGGACACGTTCTGTACGACCGCCAAAATCCAAGGGAAATCACGAAAACCAAGGCTATATTTTGACGAAAAAGTTGCTAATAACCAAAATTCACAAAAACCGAGACTCAGGAAAACCAAGGGACCACTGTATATTATTGCACATTGATGTAAAAGTTAGGTAATTGAAGCGATTATCATTAATTAGATTGATAATAGTGAAGTAGTACAAAACATATAACAATATTACAATTAGTAAATTTAGTAATGGCATGATACACTGGCAGAGTATTTCAGGCAAACTTGGGACTAACTTAAGATTAATTAGGCAGTAACTGTCTTAGCTATATACTATATTAACTATAGTAGTGAACCTTATATATATAAGTCATTTTTCATTTACATAAATATCTGTGATCAAGTTAAATTGATAAATTACACACACTAAATTTTTTTGCTGATGGGAAGCACTTTGTGACTTCTCTTAGGCTGTGAAGGACTGTCACCATCACTAATGTTGTGCTGTGGGGCCATTTTTAAGGAAAGTTTAGGGTTATTTTCAGGCCAGGGTAAACCACTGTTAACTGAAACAGTAGAAACTGAATCTATGGATACGGGGGTTTTACTGCATTACGTATTATCATTATTATTATTAGTTATCACTAGTGGTATAACTAGTGGTGCTACAAGTAGCAGTCACTGTTACTTGTGCTACTTCTGGCACTACTTTGGGTCTCAAGTAGCAACGGCAGTAGCAGCGCTGCTGTTTACAACATTTCTCAACCACCAGTTGCTAGCAGTTTGTTCAGTGAGTTGTAAAACATATTCAAACATGATTATACCAGATCTACCAGAGACCAGTCATGTGGTCCATCATGAGACCAGTCATGTGGTCCATCATGAGACCAGTCATGTGGTCCATCATGAGACCAGTCATCTGGTGCAGCATAAGACCAGTCATGTGGTGCAGCATAGGACCAGCCATATGGTGCAGCATAAGACCAGTCATGCAGGACGATCATGCCTGTCACAGCTGCTGAACCATTATGACAGAATTACGGAGGCATTGGAAGACGACCAAAAAGCAGATGTGATTTACACAGATTTTACAAAGGTGTTTGACAAATGCTGTCATGGAGTGATAGCGCATATAATGAAGGCCATGGGCATTACGGGGAAGGTAGGCAGATGGATTTTCGGTTTCCTAACACACAGAACACAAAAAGTAGTAGTGAACAGGGCAAGATCCAGCATCAGCGAGGTCAAAAGCTCAGCGCCCTCAGTGGCACCTCTGCTGTTTCTCATCCTCATAGCAGACATAGACAAAAACACCTGGCACACTTTTGTATCATCATTTGCAGATGACACTAAAATAAGCATGAAAGTCACTACGGAAGAGGTCATTGAAAAAGTACAGGAAGACAAACAGGGTTTTCCAGTGGACAGTGGAGAACAACATGACATTCATTGTTGATAAGTTCCAGCTGCTTAGGTATGGAAAGACTGAAGAGCTCAAATGGAACACTATATACAAAACTCAAGAGGGTCACCAAATAGAATGTAAGGAACATGTTAAAGACCTGGGAATAATTATGTCATGACAAGACAAAGATTACGACAGCCAGGAAGATGATGGGGTGGCTATTGAGAACTTTCAAAACAAGGGAAATAATGCCGATGGTGACACTCTTCAAACTGCTAGTGCTCCCTCACTTAGAATATTGCTCAGTGCTGACGGCCCCGTTCAAAGCAGGAGAAATATCGGAGCTGGAACAAATACAGAGATCGTTTGTGGCTCACATTGAGCCAGTAAATCACCTAAACTACTGGGAACGCCTGCAAGTCTTGACCATGTATTCACCTGGAAAATACTCAAGGTCCTGGTCCCAAATCTGCACATTGCCATAACAACATAACAGAGTGAGTGATATGGGAGGAAGTGTAAAATAAACCCAATAAGGGAACATTGTATCAACATCCAGGATCCCAGACATCTTACCAGAAGATATCAGAAACACTGCTGGGACAAGTGTAGAAGCCTTCAAGAGGAAACTGGACAAGTATCTTCACAAAGTGCCAGATCAAGCCTCCAGCAGCAACAGCCTGGTTGACCAGGCAAGCACCAACGAGCCTGGCCCATGGCCGGGCTCAGAGAGTAGATTAACTCTCGAAACTCTTTAAAGGTAAGGGTAAGTTATGTGGTCCATCATAAAACTGGTCATGTGGTGCATAAGACCAGTCATGTGTTGCAGCATGAGACCAGTCATGTGGTGCAGCATAAGACCAGTCATGTGTTGCAGCATGAGACCAGTCATGTGGTGCAGCATAAGACCAGTCATGTGTTGCAGCATGAGACCAGTCATGTGGTGCAGCATAAGACCAGTCATGTGGTGCAGCATAAGACCAGTCATTTGTTCCAGCATAAGACCAGTCATGTGGTGCAGCATAAGACCAGTCATGTGGTGCAGCATAAGACCAGTCATGTGATGCAGCATAAGACTAGTCATATGGTGCAGCATAAGACCAGGCATGTGGTGCAGCATAAGACCAGTCATGTGGTCCATCATGAGACCAGTCATGTGGTGCAGCATAAGACCAGTCATGTTGTCCATCATGAGACCAGTCATGTGGTGCAGCATAAGACCAGTCATGTGGTGCAGCATGAGACCAGTCATGTGGTCCATCATGAGACCAGTCATGTGGTGCAGCATAAGACCAGTCATGTGGTCCATCTGAGACCAGTCATGTCGTCAGTTATGATACCAATCATGTGGTGCAGCATAAGACCAGTCATGTGGTGCAGCATAAGACCAGTCATGTGGTGCAGTATAAGACTGGTCATGTGGTCCATTAGTGACCAGTCATGTTGTCCAGTATAAGACCAATCATGTCCAGTATAAGACCAGTCATGTGGTCCAGTATAAGACCAGTCATGTGGTCCAGCATAAGACCACTCATGTGGTCCAGCATAAGACAAGTCATGTGGTCCATCATGAGATAAGTCATGTGGTCCAGCCTAAGACCAGTCATGTGGTCCAGCATAAGACTAGTCATGTGGTCTACCATTACACCAGTTTTTTTTGACCCGAGTAGTTGAACTTTGCATTAGACAAGTGAATTTATAAGTTCACATCAGTCAGACCAGTCCAGAACCCAGTCAGTGCTCACAGATTTGTTGACATTGTTTCTGACAATAGGAGAACTTATTATCATCCTTAAGTAACCAGTGAGGTAAAAGATGACAGTACACATATTTTCTCAAATTTCTTGTCAGAAGAACAGAATTGATGGAACAGGCGATTCTTGGCCAACAAGCAGACCTGTGTGTCCCACATCTGCCTTTTATGGTGTGGTCACTTCTGGTCTTTCTGGGTTATAATTGAGGAAGTCATTCCTTTATTCAAACTAATTATTATTATTATTATTATAATTATTATAGATGCTCCTCAACTTAGGACGGAGTTACGTTTTGATGACCCCATCATAATTGAAAAATATCATAACTTGAATATGAATGTAATATGATGTAAATAATATTTTTTTTCAACAGACGAGCCATATCCCACCAAGGTAGAGTGACCTAAAAAGAAAAACAAAAGTTTCTCTTTAAATTTAGTAATGTGTACAGAAGAAGGGGTTACTAGCTCTTTGCTTCCAGCATTTTAGTCACCTCTTACAACATGCATGGCTTATGGAGGAAGAATTCTGTTCCACTTCCTCATGGAGAAATGATAAATAAGTAAATAAATAACTTCTGTCACTCCATAAATAAATGAACTAATAATTACTGTTACTGACTGAATACAGCCTCTTCTCACTTAGTCTGAGTGGTCATTTACTGACCACTCAGACTTAGGACCAGCACTACAGCCAGTATGCAAACCTAGGCATTGTATATTAGAGCTGATTTCCTCTATTCTGTTTATTAAAGTATACAGTGCACTACTGGATAAAACATTTAAAAAATATACTAAAATGTCATAAATAGTGCAAAGGTGACATTAAAAATATATCTGAAGATGGCTGACACAACCCACAACCAGTATTGTATGCTCCTCGCTTAATGACCAATTCGCTTTCCGCCATACTCTTAGGAAAGGAACCCCATCATTAAGTGAGGAGAGGCTGTACCAGTATTGAAAAGTAATATGTAAATGAATACAGGTTTATCCTATCAGTAAAAGTACATTACTGTACAGTACTGATATGCATTGCTATTGCACCATTGTAAAGTTGAAATATTGTAAGTTGAAGTGTGGTAAAGCAAAGAGCATCAGTAATTGTTGTTGTTTCTGTCACAGAGGAGATGGGTAGCTTCGCACGTCAGTGGGTAGAACCACTGTTTCAGTTTTCACCGCTGGTGGTGCTCCTGGTGGTGCACCTGGCACTCCTGGTTGGCCTCATCTCGGCCGTGCCGACCTTCAGTTGGGTGGTTGGGTTGGCGACGGGCGGCGGTTGTGTTCCTGGTGGTCGACCCTCTTCTTAGTCGCTATCTGGCATGGCTCTAGACGGTATGTACTCTGTACTGCTCCTATAAGGCTCTGTATATAGTCAGTTCACTTATAAAGCTTATCTATTCTAGTACCATCTGACTTATGACTTGCTCAACATACGAGCAATCGTATTTATGATTGTACGTCTGGCAGCAGGGCTGGGCAGGCTGATGCATACTGCTGTATGACAGTTGATCGCTACTCACGGCAACTTGCCATCTTGGGAGAGCTCTCACATCACTCAGGCAGCATCACTTAGAGTTACCCTGCCTATCAGCATCATCTACTGTATTAATGTACTGTATTGTATATATGTACCTGGACACAGTGTTTCTCCTAAACTTTACAGTATAAAATACAAAGTAAAAAGTGAGATACAAAAACAAAACAATAAAATAAAATCATTACAATAACTGTGATGTTGATATACAGTAGTAAAATATTTAATAAAAAGTAACATACGATACTATGTAGGTACTTTATATAGCAAAGGTTTGACATTATGCCCTACCCAGTATGTTGGCAATTTTCCAAGGTTTGACTTGCATCCATTTTGATGTACAACTGGTTGGTTGGAACCAAGCTCGGTCGTAAGTTGGATGGTACTAGTATATATAGTCAGCTTTCTTTTAACCCTTTCAGGGGTCCGTCCCGTAGATCTATGGCTTTACGTTCAGGGTCCAAACCATAGATCTACGCCAAAATTCTAGCGGCATCAAATTTAGCGCAAGAAGACTGGTAGGCCTACATCAGAGAATGGGTCTGGGTGGTCAGTGTGCACACTATAGAAAAAATCTGGATGCCTGCATGGCATTGTGGGAACGCCGGCAAAGTAGCTTTGGTCATCATGCCTGGCGGCAAGGAAGCTCACTCCCCACTCACTCTCTGGGTGAATTCTGACTCTCCTCTTCACAACTTGCAGTTCTAAGACTGATGAAAGTGGAGCTGAAGAGGAATTCTATGGTTTTGAACCATATGGTACCATTGTGCCATATGGTACAATGGTACCATGTCATATGGTACAGGGTACAGGGACCCTAATGGAAATAAGTCTGTCTGACTTTTTTGGGTTATCCTAGGTTCTCCAAACATATTACCTGGAGTTTACCTGGAGAGAGTTCCGGGGGTCAACGCCCCAGCAGCCTGGTCTGTGACCAGGCCTCCTGGTGGATCAGAGCCTGATCAACCAGGCTGTTACTGTTGGCTGCACGCAATCCAATGTACGAGCCACAGCCCGGCTGGTCAAGTACCGACTTTAGGTGCTTGTCCAGTGCCACCTTGAAGACTGCCAGGGGTCTATTGGTAATCCCCCTTATGTATGCTGGGAGGCAGTTGAACAGTCTCAGGCCCCTGACACTTATTGTATTGTCTCTTAACGTGCTAGTGACACCCCTGGTTTTCATTGGGGGGATGTTGCATCGTCTGCCAAGTCTTTTGCTTTCGTTGCGAGTGATTTTCGTGTGCAAGTTCGGTACTAGTCCCTCTAGGATTTTCCAGGTGTATATAATCATGTATCTCTCCCACCTGCGTTCCAGGGAATACAGGTTCAGGAACCTCAAGTGCTCCCAGTAATTGAGGTGTTTTATCTCCGTTATGCGCGCTGTGAAGGTTCTCTGTACATTTTGTAGGTCAGCAATTTCCCCTGCCTTGAAAGGTGCTGTTAGTATGCAGTAATATGTACTATCATATGTATATGTACATATGCTGCTAAGTATGATATTCTATGTAACTTTATTTAGGTATACCTAAATAAACTTACTTATGATGCCACATGTGCTTGAGTAAGTTTATTCAGGTGTACAGAAATAGTTACATAGATTATCATACACAGCAGCATATGTATAAAATCCTAGGATAACCCAAAAAAGTCAGGGTGACTTATTTCCATAGGGATCCCTGTATCTGTACCGTATGGTGCCCTGTACTGTATGGTACCCTGTGCCATATGGTACAGTGTGCCATATGGTACCCTGTACCATATGGTACCCTGTATCAAATGGTACCCTGCACCATATGGTACCCTGCACCATATGTTATCCTGTACTGCATGGTACCCTATACCATATAGTACAATGTACCATATGGTACCCTGTAACATATGATACCGTGTACCATATGGTCAATAGGTGTTGGTGGTATGAGACACCAGCCAAGACTGAGTGATTGGCGACACAAGCTAGCTATGACTCCGCAGTTTTCCAGACAAAGCGCTTTGTCATCCACCTCAAGGAACATGTCGAGTTCCTGTACATTTGTAAATATATAATAGAACATTAATAATATACAAAATTTTTTGCATAATTTTGTTGTAAACAATTATTGTAAACAAAATAATGATGAAAATATTAGTGTGTTTATTTTGTTGAATACAACAGTACCATATAGTACCATATGGTACAATGAACCATATGGTATCATTGTACTGTATGGTACAATGTACCATATGGTACCATTGCACCATATGGTACCATTGTATCATATGGTACCATTGTACCATATTCTACCATATGGTACCATTGTATCATGTGCCATTGTACCATATTGCACCATTTGGTACCATTGTATCATATGTACAATTGTACTATATGGTACCATTGCACCCTATGGCACTATTGTACCATATGGTACTATATGGTACCGTTGTATTCAACACAACAACCGCCCTAATATTTTCATCATTTTGTTTACAATAAACTTGTAAACAAGTTTTGTAAGCAATATAATGATAAACAAATTAGTGCATTATTGAAATTGAATAAAATGGTGACACTTAGAATATACATTATTTGGGTCACACGGGCCACAAATGTTATTAGAAAAAGAAAAAAAAATAGAAAAGAAAAGAAGAAAGTATAAAAAACATAAAATAAAAAAATGCGGTCATTTTGGGTCAATTTCCCACCATGTATCCAGAAAGTACGACAAATTTTTTTTTTTTTTTTTCCCTTCAAAAAAAATTTTATCTTAATTCTGTAAGATTTTTTTTTTTTTTTTTTTTTTTTTTTTTTCAAAATTTTTTGGGACACTGGGCACCCCTTCCGTTTTTGGGCCCTTTGGACCCGGAAAGGGGTTAACCCCCCTTCGGGGTTCAAGGCCAAAATCTGAAGGGGTGCTCCAGGCCAAGAAATTTTGAAAAAAAAAAAAATTTTTTTTTCTTACGAATTAAAAAGCTATTTTTGTAAAGGGTAATAAGAAAAAAAAAAAAATTCTGATCAGTATTCCCGAGATCAGTGGGGGGAATTTTGCAAAAATGATTGGGGGGCGGCAACATCGACGAATTCACATACGCTATTATTTTTTTGGGGTTTTTATTGTTTTTTCTTTTCTTTTCCATTTTTTTCTATTCCACAACATTTGGGGCCCCTGAAGACCAATACTGTATATAATGATATATAAAAAACTCACTGTATTGAACACAAAAAACCCGCACTAAAGTTTACCAAAATTTTGGGTTTACCACTGTTGTTTATTAAATAAACATCCACAAATTTGTATAATACAGTGGACCCCCGCATAACTTTTCCTCCGAATGCGCCCAAATTAGTAAGTGTATTTATTAAGGGGTTTTTAAACGTGTATTTTTTGGGGGTTAAAATGGACAAATCACTTCACAATTTCCCTTATGGGAACAAATTCGGTCAGACTGCACCTGAACAACTTATGGAGTGAAAAAATATTTTTAAACCCGGGGGGTCCACGTACAATGTTCTATCATATATTTACATTTTTACAATCAGGACATGTTTTTAAAAACCTGGAGTTTGTGGAACCCCTTTGAAAAAGGCACCATGCAAGAGGCCCTTACATTCCTCACACATAAACCAGTGTTTTTGCGCTTTGTTGCCGTCGTTTGTTTTGCACAGACATGCTTCTTCTGGGAAAAAAATTTTTTCTGATTGAAAGGGAAAATTTTATTATGAAATGATCACCTTCCCCCTCAAACGCTTGGGGTTTTCCCGAGAATTAAGGGCCCCTGTTGTATACAGGGGTTTTTCTTACCCTGGAAAATCATTAGAGTTGTCTGAAACAACCCAAAAAAAATTCCCCCCTACGTGGTCTGTTGCCATCTTTATTTGGGACCTTTTTATCATTTAGCATGAAAAAATCCATAATGGAAAAAAGTTTCTGTACCAAATTGTAAATCTTAGGAACACAGCAACAAAACCAATCGCATGTCACATTTGTCAACCAAAAGGGGCCATGTTTTGTGTATAATCAAAAACTGTCACGGTTTTTTCGAATTGTTATTTGTCCACATCCCCCTCAACTTTGCCCCGTCTTGCATTTCATTACGGTAATGGTTTCAACAATGTACATTCGTTGCATGCCACCGTAAGCCCTATGTCATTGGCAGTAAACACCTGCACGCATCCCACGAGCACCTCGTTGAGCCTGGGCATATGTTTACGATTAGAAGCACTGGCCACACACATCTTCTTGTTTTAAATTGATAAATCACTAAAATGGGGTTGTGTACCCGTTATCGGTAAAATTATGCCCCTTACCAAGATTTAAAGGTGCCATCATGTTTTTCCCTACTCCCTTAAAAAACCCCTAAATCTTGGTATCTTTCAATGTTTTACTACCCGTGTATACAACATTTTCCAAACCAGGCCACGTCACAACCAGAGTACAAACAGTTTTTAACCAACGTTTCCTCTTGCTCGGTATATAGCTTTTAAGACAGTATTCTTTAACAAAAAAAAGACTCGTCAAATTTCAAGATTTTTGAATGGAAAAAATAAGCTGAACTTTTTGTTTTGGGTACATAAAACTTTCAATCGTATAAAACCTGTTCCCTTTTGTCCCAAACCTGGGTTTTTTCAGAGAAGTGAACATACTAAGGTAAGATAAAACCGTTCACTGGGGATATTTCATGAAGGGGCCGGGTAGAAAAATTTCCGATCTTGGACCAGTAGCTTTTTTTTTAGCTTATAAAAGGGGAGGATAAGCATTTTTTTGCAAAAAGCAAATACTTTTTGCAAAAGTGTCT